ATACAAAATATAAAGAAAAATTAACCTGCACTTTACCTTTGAATACCTTTGTGGTTGGTGTGAAGGAGACAAGAGAAAGAAAAGTTACTGTGCAGGAAGACTTTCACTATCACTACTGGAATCACTGTATTCTATTGGCTCAATGAAATCTTTTTCTTTTCATTTAACTTTAACAAGGAACCTATCCAATGACACTTGGTTTTGCATCCTTTTGAGGATTTCACAGGATGTCACATTGCAGTGTTAAACAGATTCATCATTAGCACTGCTACAGCTTTATTTGGGTGGTGCTTTTGTTCAAAATTTTGCACTGTTTTCCACATTTTACACATCTTCTTTATCTCATTTGAAGTGAGGGATTCCTCTGCCTTTTTCTCCTCCTGCTCTGCAGCCAAAATCTCCTCCATAACCTCTTGCTTTTGGGAAAAGATCATCCACAATCCCACAGTGACAAGGAGACACAGAGAGAGAGAGAGGCAGAGAGATAGAGGCCAATGGCTCAGTTGTGACCACATGTCATTTGGGGTCATATGCTACTCATATTGCAAGACTCATTTATCAAGTTAAAATTATTAGATATGTTTGCTTGTCTTGCAGAACACTTGCATAACAAGTTACTTCTTGGGGGCTGGGGACTTAGCTCAGCGGCCTCATGCCTGCCTGGCAAGCACAAAGTCCTGAGTTCAATCCCTGTTACCGAGGGAAAAAAAAATGTACTTGCAATCCAAGGTTTTATTGTATTTGGAAATTTTCCAAATAGTTTGCTATTGATTTCTAATTTAATATAAAATGTACACAAAACATACTCTATTTAAATCCTTTAAAATTTGTTAATGTTTATATTATGATGCAGCATATAATCTAGTTTATCAAACATTTTGTGTACACAGTAATAGAATATATTGTTTGTCAGTCATTGATGATAAAGTTCATATAAACTTCAGTGAGGTCAAATTATTTGACAATGTTTAAATTTTCTATATCTTGCTGATTTTCTGTCTACTTCATAAGTTCCTGAGGAAGAAAGGTCAATTTACAGAATTTTCTTTTTTTTGAGACAGGGTCTCATTATGTAGTTCAGGTCAGCCTTGAACTCACTATGTAGCCCAGGCTGGCTTTGAACTTGTAGTAATCCTCCTGCCTCAACTGGTATAGTCCCTGCCTCAGGGCTGGGATTACAGGCGTGCACCACCATGCCCCTCCAATTTGCAGATATTAATGCGGATTTGTTTATTCTTGTGCAGTTGTCAGATTTTGTCCTATGCTTATTGAAGCTCTCTTAATAAATGTATGCATGGCTAAGACTGTATCTTTTTGATATGAACACTTTGAACATTGTTAAATGTCCCTCTTTATCTGTAGTAATTTTTTTTTGCTGAATCGTCTACATTATTCAACACAAATGTAACCATTTCAGCTCTCTTAAGCCTAGTGTTTTCAGATATATATTTTCAAAACTTTTGCCTTAAGCCTATCTAAATTTTTATATTTGAAGAATGCTTCCTTTAATTAGCACATACTTGGGCTTGACAGTCTTCATCTTTTAAGTAATGTATTTAGTACATATATATTCAACACATTTAGTGATATAGTTGGGTTTACTTTTTTTTCTATTTGTTTCCTTTGTTCTTAGTGTTTTTCTCCTCCTTTCCTGCCTTCTTTTGTCATTAGTAGTTTTATTAAATCTAATAAAATATTACCTAATGCAATGCTGTGAAGATTTACTTCTATGTTTTTTTCTAAGAGTTTTTAACATTCATATTTATATTTAGAGTTAATTTCTAGAGTTAAATTTCATTTTGAGTTAATTTCTGTATATGGTGTGAGGTAGAGTTTCAAATTCATTCTTTTTTCATGTATTTATCCAATTGTTCCAATAACATTGATTTGAAAAGACCAATGTTATTTCCAAATTACTTGTCTTTCTATCCTTGTGAAAAATTATTTAACCATAAATCCAAGAGTTTATTTCTGTAATCCTAATTCTATTCCATTGCTTTCTGTTTCTATCCCCATGCCTGCACCATGCTTTGATTACTATACTTTGTAGTAAATTATGCTAGTTTTTTTTCTTTTCTTTTTTATCCAGTTTCGGGAATTGAACTCAGGATCTTGCCCTTGCCAGGCAGAAATGGCGCCGCTGAGCTACATCCCCAGCCTTGTTTGTAGTAAATTTTGATACCAAGAAATGAGTCTTTTACTTTGTCTTTCTCTTATAAGACTGTTTTGGCTATTCTGAAGCCTTTGTATTAACATGAATTTTAAAATTAGGTTTTAAATTCTGAAAACAAACACTTGAAATTTTCATAGAGAATCCATTAAAACTGTAGATCAGTTTGAGAAGTATTGCCTTCTTAACTATTAAATCTTCTTGTCTGTAAACATGAAATGACTTGCCATTTATTTGCATCAATTCTAATGTATTTCAAAATGTTTTGTAGTTTTCA